ACTTCATCGAATTAAATTTTTGGCTAAATGAAACTTAAAAAATTACATTTCCAACACTTTATGACACAATGTGATTTGCAGAACTGAAATATATATAAAACGACATCTTTTGACGAAATACGAAAAGAATTTTTCGACTACCCTATCGTTTCAAGCAAACTCACAAGAGAGCTTATAAAATAAAAATTTTAATATTTTGCTTCGGAAAAGTTGTATATTTTCACATCAGATCACATATTTRTAACAAAAAATAGACAGAATACTCCGTCTGCTTMTAYAAAGTTCTTACGTACGCGTACTTTYCTCAACCACTGTATGCCAACACAGAAAGCCTCGTACATACACATATATATGTATGTATACCTCTAATGAAACTTACACGAATAAAGCAAGAAAAGCAATTTGCCCATTAGTTGTACAAAAACACATTGCTATACCTTCTGTGTTTGTATTTCAGCTAAAATGCCCACAATAAACAGCATTATTTGTGTCATTATTTCACTTTACCGTTATTCATGTGCGCATAATTTGATGGCAAAAATTAGCGAAACACGGACAAATTGATTAATATCGCCATCAACGGAGATGAAATGTGTACAAAACCGTACTAAAATGCTGATGGACGAGCGATGAATAAGCTTATTATGCGCACACACAGAAACAGATATACAAATCCACATCTACATCTACATATACAATATATATACATATATGGATGAGCACATAAGTGTTGGCAATCACCAATGAAAGTCAAATAAATTATTAGTTGCTGTTTGGCGCTTGCATACATATGTATATATATATATATGGCTGTGTGCATRTTTGAAGTATAATCATAATCTTCTGCCTGCGAAAAAGGCAAGTTCTCTGCGCTTGTTTGTACGTCTGTTTACAAGTGTTTCGCATTYATTTACAGCGCAATATTTGTAAGTGGCAAAAGAACTGTGGCGTCACTGGCGACACAACTCATAAAATCGCCATAAAGCAGCAATCAAAACACAAATAAAAGTTATGGAAAAAAATGTGCTAGCAAATGAAATCATTTCTGTTTTTGTTTATGTAAATATGCATATAGCGTCATGTAAGGCAATAACGTGAAGAAAGGCCATTTGGTTGGGCGCAACTCGGGGTGAGAGGTTAAGTGCTTGGATATGGGAACTCATTGATGCTTTGAAGTAAGAAGAGCACATAATGGTGTCAGGAAATCAGCTTAGGCTATGTATATTTAGGTGTATTGCATAAGCAAATTTATTTATAGTAGTAGTTTTGCTGCGCAGAAATCACATTCAGCTATACAAATTTCAGGATATAAATAGTGAATGGGGTGTACTAAATTTGCCATTAAGGTTTTAACACACAAATGTAATTTCTTTTCCGTAAGGTATGCGGAGACTCTTTAATGCACACATAAATATTCAACATGATGAGCCAGGTTCATCTGCCTGTATTTAAGGGAACTAGTTCACAGTTTYTGAGATATTAAATSTGAAAGGTCGGTGATGCCGCTTACTCTCCAATARGCTGCTCATTTGTCAAAACCAACGATATTGGACTAATAGCATAGCAGTCATACAATATTTTTTCGTACATTTACTAGACACACATGATTTTCTATAAGCTCCTACATATGTTTGTCTATATGGCAAATTTATTTCGATATTCTTCGAATATCTGCTCTAATACGAATTCATGTGTGGAGATATGCATACTTTTATTTATTACATATTTATATACATACTCTATACATATGTACGTGCATATCTTATATGTGCCTAGCAATTGATTGCTTCCGCGCAGCTTCCTTTCCTTCAACACTRATGCCGGTTTGTCGCATCCTGGGTTTCTTTTGATGACTGTTTCTTCCTTTATTTATTGGTTTCTCATCTTTTTTCTTACGAGACTGTTTTTTGCACYGCTAATACTTCATTTTTTGTTATTGTAATTTCACTTTCGTAATTGAATTCGAAAACAAATTCTTAACGCTTCACTGTTCAGGCATGCGTGCCAATTTGTGTACGTGTGCGTTAAGCTGAAGTTCTACACGCACACATATAGATGCAGAGGATGTCACAGAAAATGAATAACTGTATAGGCTATGGTAAAATGTGGTTGCAAAAGCCGAGCTTAGGCGGTAATGCAATAAATGAGGCGCACTTTAAAGGCCTAAAAGACCTACATACAGGTATGAGAAAGTCAAACAGATAAAAAACAAATCGCARATGTTGATCTAGTTAAAAATTTCCAAGCGCTGTAATGACGAGGACTACTAATACTAGCAGGTGAATATGTGAAAACCTTTCTGCAGAAGTTTAAGAAGAGAAAAGTCTTCATATTATATTCGGTGATTCCAGCAAAGAGTCCCACTTTTAATAGCGCTCTTCTTTTAGTTCAAGAACTGTCTCTCGAAAGTTCACAGTAATGTGTAGTGCATGAAAATAAACAAAGTGTCTTCAAGCAAAAACGAATCTCAGCACACCCGAAAACTTTGTCAATCTTAAGTGAAACATGCCTTTCAGGTAAYTCAGAGAAAGATACTAATGTGGAAAGATAACTGAGAGAAAATTATGTGCTGCGCGCTTTGTTTGGCTCCAGGAATAAGTTAATTAGCTGGTTACTTCTGAATGGCTAACACAATTCATTAGAACCTAAAATTAAACTAAAATTTGCTGTTGCTTATTGAAGTTGTTTTAGTACTTTTCCTAACGAGTCCATTAATTTTGTACGGAAATAATAACAAATATATTTCTTAAGTCACAAATACAAGTTTAGAAGGAKTACCCTAAAATTAATTCTATTTTCAGTTAATAGACTTTTAATATATGTATATTTCTATGCTTCGCTTAAGATTGTAGTTCAAGGACTTTTCTCGGTATTAATTCTTCCACAGGTTGAGTTAGACTAGACGGCTGATTCCTCAGGATGGCGGAGGGATCACTCTTAGATTGTTATATTCAGTCCGTTGTGTATAGCTAAACGAAAAGAATCCTTTAGTTGGATATTAGCTATCGGGAAAGCATCCTGAAGCTATCAAATATTAACTAGGTGTTTTTGCTTTGATCTTGCAAAAGGGGGACATWTGCGGAGGAAATGTTGAGATGTCTTTCTCATCCAGCTGATGYTGCTGTCGGACGTTAGATGAAATATGTTCAATTTTACAGCATGAATCCCCACGGAACAGAGTGAATTGAATTCCTACAATTATTTAAAAGTGTATATTCATAAGAACAAGGAGCTGCCCTCCCTTACGATAGCACAGCTGGTGGCAGTAAGCCAACGCTTGCTGAGCTGATTAGAGCCCCAGCGGTCCAGTAGCAAACCGTTCTATTCTGCAGTTATTGAAACTGAAATATCCGCAAGCTCATCAGCCTTAGAGTTTCKTGCAATATCGCTTCGGTCAGTCACCGTAACTACTTTAATCATAAAGTAACTTGACGCTAGTGATAAGGAGTCTATTCACCCTTTTTTTAGTCTTAAGCGCACAGTCAGCAAAGTTGAGACTAATACCGCTGCCTGACTATCGGCGTTGATAGTCACTACTCTACAGAAAGCTGCGCTCTGGAGTAATACATCTACTGTTAGCTTTATGGCAGCTACCACCACTTAAAGGACGCTGCAGTGGACAGGACTGTTAAAACTAGTGTTGAAGGAAAGTTCTTCTCCACCAACCCTCCCCGCAAGCTTTGGATCGTTTGCAGAAAGCTCAATGCATTTCACCTCCAGCGTGTACTAACCTCCGATGCTTTCCTCGTAAGCATGTGAGCAGAAAACCTGCAGAGCTAGGTTCATCGACCTGTTAATCCAAGTATATTGGAATAAAATCAATGTGATTAGAGTGCGCCTCAGACCATAACTGTGGTAAAAACTCCAAACAAGTTTGGTTTCTATTGAAAGATTGCTAATATTATCTATTATATGTCAATCCTGGTTATCCTAAAACTTCTTAGTGCTGTGTGACACGCGAAACGCTCTGCCTAATGGCTGTCTCTTATACACATCTAGATGTGTATAAGAGACAGAATACCGGAGCTTCTTAGATTTTACTATCGTGGATCGATAATAAACCATTAGGAAAGAGAAAAAAACTTACTCTCTGAGAAATAATTGTACTCTTTATTATTTTTTCTGCTATTTGATGGCACCCTTTTGAAGGCTAAGGCACTTGTCCTAAATGCAGCCACTAAGTTCAGAGAAAACCAAAGAAAGTAAAAACAAACATCGGAAAGTATAGTTTTTCAACAAAACTTATAGTATATATTGCTGGTTACATAACTGTCTTAATTAATTCTTTCTCAACATATTTCAAAGAAGGTGACAATTAATAGGATTATCTACGTGTCTCCAGGAAAGAATATGAATTAAGGAACGTTATTCGTAACGAGAAAGTGCTTGAGTAGATCAAATAAGGAGAGCTCAAGATTTGTGCACGATAAATAATCAGCAAGCAAGCAAGTGAATAGCTCAACAATTTCAAGCCAAAACATCAGATTTTCTAATATCACGCAGCGAGCGCGGCAAAGCAATCTACTTGCAGGCAGCTAATATAGAACTTTTCACATTGGTTGCAGCGATTGCCATAAGAGTTGCCGTTATACTCGAAGAAATCGAATTGATGATGTGAAATTGTGTTTGTATTGAACTGCCGACGCAACCAAGCGAAGAATGAGCAAATGAAAAGCAGCTTTCGAGGCGCAGGCAGCTTACTTGGCKCACACAAAGCCATCGATGCAAGCGCGCTCTCACACAAATGTCAGCWCAAGTATTTGCTTGTGTCGCAAAGTGTGTGAACTCATTTGAGTGGAAGACGTGCGAATTCAAGAAGTTGCCGAGCTATCGAGGCAARCGGAAAGAGGCACAAGGCGAAAGCTGTAAGTGGTGAGCTGCAGTCGAATGTAAGCATTTTGGCGACATTCATTTCACAGTCTCCAACAAATAGCTGAGCGAATTTGTAGTAACTTTCTGAAAAAAATCATCAAAAAATGGAAAAATTTAATGCGACTTACCGTACGGTCCCAATTGTGCCGCCACTCGTACACGCTCGATTACGACCGGCGGCTCGCTGCGTCCCTTCGCATTAACGGCATACACGAGAAATTGATATTCTCGGCCCGGCTCCAAGCTGTTGAGACGAAATTGCGGTTGCGGCTCCTGCATGCGAAGTACCGGTGCTGACGTCGCCTGAAAGTATGCAAAATATGCGAATTCAAAAACAAAATTTTGCAAATAGCACAAACRCACACACACGTATACACACACACACATTCTCATCCAAATAATGGCATAGAAAGTGGGCACAGATAAGAAAATGAAAGATGAAGTGTTGCCGAGCCTGCCATTGACCGGCCCATCATTGTTGGCAGCCTGCAATTTGTGGGCTCATGGCGAAATTATTCGAAAACTTTCCTTTCATAGCGGCCAAATAGGAGCGCTCTCGGCTTGCATCATTCGTGGAGCGCTTCGAGTTCGTTATTTTTCCTTTCATACATTTTGCTTGATTGTGAGAAATGTTTGCAGTAAATTTATGGTTTGGAAGTCGAGTCGTTTCCAATTGAATAGTCGTTAAGCAAATATGGCAGCGCTTTGTGCTTGACAGTCTTCAAAAACTCTGGCCGCGTTTTCTTACTAAGCCACTCAACATTGCACGCTTTGCGAAACTATTTAAAACTTTCCGTTCGCAATCGCTTTGGAAAAGGATTTCGGCAAATTCGATTGAAATGTGCGAAAAATCGCTATAAATCTACTTAATCGTTTTTGATGCAAGCGAAGTTCGCAAACAAGTATGATGGCTGGTGGTGCAAAGAAATTCGCGGGTTGGCGACTTGAGCTTTTTCTTCATCTAAATATTGTACAATGCTATCAACTTTGGACGTTAAAAATTTAAAGCTTCTAAAAGGTTTTTATGAGCAAAAATCTTAATAAAATATTCCTTTGTACCTTTCGAAGTCTTTGGCGTTGGAATAGCGAAAAAAGAAGTTGCAGAATAAGTTACAGGATTTTTTTTTGTCTTTTCATTATAGAATACTTATTATAAAAACGACTTTTTTTAATTAATAAAACCATGTAAGGAAGAGCTACGTTCGGACGTAACCGAACATCTTATACTATACGGGGAATAAAGTCAAGAGCAAGTTGAAAAATTGTTTTATTAAGTCTATGGGACTAACGGAAGTATCTGATTCAACACGTACTATTTTCTCCAAATTTCAATTAGATATCGCACGCATTGAACAGTATTTTCCGTCGCGAGTGAACTATAGATACTGGGATCCACATATTCCGTACATATAGGCTTGAATATTTCTCGTTCGGTTTGGACCATGCTTGATCATAAGGTGACATAGTTGAATGGCACTATTCGTGTAAAAAGTCTTTTCATATTTTGTCAATAGATGTCGCTGCAGTCGTACAGGTATATCTCCAGTGCTACCACTCACATTGTGTCATATCATATAATGTTAGAAAGAGGGAACAAATTTATAGCTATTCGAAAATTAGTGAAAATTATGAACAAGCTCGCTATAGTTTGAAATTTTTGTATAAAAAAGGGAAGAATGCCACGAAAGCCACCAATGAAATTTTTCATTTGTGTCTGGAAATTTCGATGCGAAAGATGCACCTCACTCTGGTCGACCTATCGTTATAAAAGTTTATGCACTTATGGAAAGATTGACCAGAACCGTCACACAAGCAACCATGACATCGCTAAGGAATTTAGCATTGATCATCAAACGGTTTTGAACCACTTCAAAAAGACTGGCTACAGAAAGCAACTCGCTGTTTGAGTGCCACCTGAATTGTCTGTGAAAAATTTAATGAACCATATTAATATCTGCGATGCATTGCTGAAACGAAATGAAATCGAACCATTTCTGAAGCAGAGTAGTAACAGGAGATGAGAAAAGATCATGGTCCAAGCGTGCATGAAGCTCAACAAATGGTCGCTTAACCATGATTGACACCTCGAAAGGTTATACTGAGTGTTTGTTGGGATTGGAAAAGAATCGTCCACTCCCGCCCGGTCGAACGATTGATTCTACATTTTACTGTCAACAACTGATGAGATTGAAGCAATCAATCGATGAAAACGGCCAGAACTAATCTACAGAAAGGGCTTAGTCTTCCATCAGGACAATGCTAGAGCACACACATCTCTGATGACTCGGCAAAAACTGGGAGAGCTTGGCTGGGAAGTGTTGATGAACAATACCCACTTTTAAAAAATTTTAGCCCACAGGTGCCCTAGCTACTGTTTTTCCCTGTACTATTCCTAGTACTAAAACTATTGTAATAGTACTAAAACTATTGTTTTTAGTACTTGGTTATGTTACTTTTTAGGTTTTCATTTAGTGATGTTTTGTTGGTGTGGCAGTTGTCTGATTACTCTCTCTTACTTTTTTCCGAGGAACATATGTAAAACGTGTCATCAAAAAACTTCGGTAATACTGAATATTTGTATATTTTCCGAAAAATCTTCCTCTGAACCGATCGCTATTAGATTCTACGAATAAAGATAATGTATTAATATTATTACTCTCATCCGTTTGACGTTACCCTAAACAAAAAGTTTATACTCCAGCTAACCTCCTAGCTAACACTAATAACTGTCTGCTAGTCATATTTCATTAGATTACGCCCAAAGCTTTCGACTAGCCGACTACCATCGACTGATTGTGTGTCTGGACTGCCATGAGACAAATGCCTGGTAATTAGGCTTCTACGTTTTACAGATTTAAGTTGGATTTGCATATTCCCTGGACGCATTTTTAATGTATGCACGAGAACTGTCAAACGTCGAGGTGAGTCACCGCGATGCAAAGCATATAATCTATGAGTTAGATAACTTGAATGAAGAATTCTTATATTCTGCTTGCTATCTTCTACGCTGTCATATCGAGTTTCGCCGCTAAGCTGCAAAAGAAAGCAAGCCAAATGACACGTTCGAAAAGTAGGAAAATGAAGGAAGTGAGTTGAGGCAGGCACATTGTTGCCACGGCAAGTAGCAATAATCRAACAAGTTGCAAAAGTTTCTCAAACAATTAATCATCCTTGCAAACTCTATTATAAACTTTATGCTCAACGCAGATCTTTGCGATTCTTTTTTCTACTTCGAATTTTTCTTCAGCCATTTTCTTGGTTTTTCTTTCTTTGTTAAGTTTGTACTTTTCGAAAATTGTGTGTTATCTTTTGTCTAGGGCTTAAGATTTGCGTTGTTGTTGTTTATGTTTCTCTGTTTTCGCTATTTTTGTTACTGTTTGCCCACAAACGCCTAACTGACCACCTGTGCCACTAAACATTTTTGTATGAATATAAACTTTTCGTTGCGTAACATATATATATATATATATATGTATATATATAAGAAAAAAAATATGTATATATATGCCAAATACATTACCATTATGTGTAGGTTTATATATTTACCCCGGAGAGAAATTGGTTAATCAAAAAATATTTTTGGCAAACCTTGGCACCTAAGAGAACGCGGAAATGAAGCATAATTCTTAGAACCTTTATTGATAGCCTTATTGGTTTCGATTTTTTTCTATTCTCCATTTTGAAACCTACTCTTTTTTATTAAAAAGTTACAACAGAGAATATAGTATAATATAGTCACCATAGTCGACGTATGGAAAAACTTGTTGCATTTTATGTCGAGATCTTAAACTGAACCCGCTCGGGTTTTAAGCTAGATCGCTTCGCTTTAAGGGTTCTTGAATAGTTCCAAGAAGATCCGACGTTTTCGAGGACAATTTCGTTCAGCGATGGGTCATATTTTTGGCTCGATAGGTATGCAAACAATCAAATTTTCCGGATTTGGGACGAAGAGCAACCTGAAGAGATTCAAGAGCTGCCATTCCATACAGAAATAACAACGGTTTGGTGTGGTTCGCTTCAAAAATAATACCAATGTGAACTTAACCGTCAATTGCGACCTCTATAGGGCCATAATAACCGACTATTTGATGAATGAAATTGAAGCTCGTGATCTTGGCGACATTTAGTTTCAACATGACAGCGTCATTATCTACACATCGCATCCCTCAATAGATTTATTGAGAGAACGCTTTGGTAAGTCGATARTTTTACGTTTGAGGCCACCAAGATCGTGTGAAATCACASCGTTWGAMATTTTACTGTGTGCTTTTATAAAGTCTWAATCCTAAGCGGACAATCTCGCTTCAATTCAGGACTTGGAGCAAAGCATCACGTAATTACATGAACCAGTTACCAGTCCAAATACTCGAATGAGTCAACAAAAAATTTAAGAGATAATCTTCTAAAAATAAATGACAGAGAATGCCTTTTCGAATCATAATAAATATTCTCCATTATATTTGATGTTTGTGGTCACCATTTTTAATTTTTTTAATTTTATTTTATTTTTATTTACAAACATGGTCTCCTGGTATATATCAAAAAGTTTGTATTAGGTACTAGGGTATATATAATATGTCTACTGTAACAAAGCGGAAGTTATTTCTGGAATGCTGGAATTTTCTTCAATTTTTAAATATCTTGTGAAATTATCACTTTTTTWAAAAAAATATTAGATTTTTACCTCTATTTTATACCCTCAACAGGGTAAATTAAGTTTGTCACGAAGTTTGTAACACCCARAAGGAAGGTTCGGGGACCCCATAAAACCCTCTAAAGTATATATACGAGTATAAATGATCAGTATGTCGAGCTGAGTCGATTTAGCCATGTCCGTCTGTCTGTGTATATACGAACTAGTACCTCAGTTTTTAAGATATCGTTTTGAAATTTTGCAAACGTCATTTTCTCTTCAAGAAGCTGCTCATTTGTCGAAACTGTCGATATCAGACCACTACATCACATAGATGCCATACAAACTGAGCAATCGGAATCAGGTTCTTGTATGGAAAACTTTCACATTTGACAAGATATATTCACGAAATTTGGTATAGATTATTTTCTAAGCCAACAATGTAATATAAGAAAAAATTACTCAGATCGGCTCACTATGGCATATAGCTGCCATACAAGCCAAACGATCGGTATCAAKAACTTGTATGGAAAATTTTCGCATTTGGCGTCGTATCGTCAWGAAATTTGGCATGGCTTACTGCTCAAGGTAATATAATATACACAAAAATTGTTCAGAACAGATTACTATAACATATAGCTTCCATACAAACTGAACACATAGTTACTAACAGAAATGCCTCTGTGAAGGGTATTTAGCTTAACGTTTTTTCTTGTTATACTTGTAATYGTTTCATCATTCAATCATTTTAACAAGTCAGTCGGACCTCATGGGTTGAACTATTTTCAGATCCATTCGCATGAATCGAAAAGGTTGATCAGTAGTCGATTTACTAGGCAAACCCCCACCAATCTGATCAGTTAGTATATAGTTCAATGTTTCGAAATGTTTAGTCGACAGAATCTTCATTTTTAGATCCACAAACTTTCTGTGAAGTTGACCTGTGTGTAGCTTGGCTGGTGATATAGTACATATGTATTTCTTTTACTCCATATCTGTATATATTTTTTCGGAATATTGTCTCGCTCTGGGTGCAATGTATAGCAGTTAGAGCGAAGTAATTGATTATATTTCCCTAAAGGGTTGCCATGACACCGCACAACACTCATAACCGAATATACATACATATTTGTTTGTACGTATATATATTATATATTTATATTTACTGCTGAGTGCATTTATGTAGTCAGCATGTTTCCTTAATAAAAGTTTGAAACCTCTTTGGAAGTTCTTAGCCATGGTCTTTATTGTTGATTCTTGTCTAGCCAGCCATTGACTGCGCTGCCTGCTTTTATGAGTATTACAGTTACTTTTCCTTGCTTTATCTACGCTGCGCTGTTTGCATCTTCACTAGAAGCCTCTGCTTCCCGCACACAATTCTTCTTCTTYTACTTCTTCTGCTTCTTCTTCTTCAATGTCTGCCTTTTTTTGTGCGCACTTGTTATGTTGCAATTTGTGTTTGCCGCTTTTGTAGATAGATTTGTTGATTGTTCGAGTGGCGAGTGCGTGGCTGATGCGGAGAGCGCTGAGCCGGCAGTGGCAACGGGACAGCGATTGCAGCAACAGCAGCAGTTCGGTCTCTTTAAATGGTTACGCACAAATTCCCACTCAAGTTAGTGGAAGTAATTTATTGTGTGTCCCTTTTGTAACTGGCAATCATTGAAGCGCTTTCTTTGCCCACGTGCACACACACACGCACATAAATATATATATATATAGGCACATACACAAGCTTATACAGCGCTGTGTGTTCGAATGCGCAGGGCTGTATGGTCGGCTGGAGCTTGTGTGCGCGCATCCTTTACTCGCTCGGCCTTAAATACTCGGCACTTGCTTGTGTCGAATGTCGAACCAATTGCCCATCCGTTCTTCATGCAAAGCTTTTGTTTGGCTTATTTAAAGCTTTATTGTTTCTTCGCTGTTCGAGTGGAAGCAAAACTATGAAACTAATAATAGTTACGTAATGTTGAGCAGCATGATAACGTTATGGCTATTGCCTGCTAGTTTAGATCATCTTGTTGTTGTTGTTGTTGTCTATTGCTCTGTTATTATTGTTGTTGTTTTCAGTAAGGGTCAGGCGCTGGAATGTGGCACTTTAGGCATTGCATTATGTATTGCTTCGTACTAAATATATATACAGCTATGAACACATGTATGCGCAGATAAACCGTTATTTATATACTTATATATAACTTTAGTTGAATGTTGGCCAATGAGCACTTTCCGACCCTGACCCTGACTAATGCCCAAACCACTCAACTACAAACACGCCATACATGCATACGTGTACGTGTGTGTGTGTGTTTGTTGCATATGGCACGCGTGCTGCTGGATAAAGTCAAGCGAGTCCGTTTGAGCAATAATTGACCGTGTGAGTTACAAAGTTGTTTTTAATTTGAATTGGCAGGCGGATAGTCATAATTGTTGGCAAACTCACTCATGTGCGCAATTCACACAAGCATACATATGTGCAAACATCGGGTATATTTATTATATAAATGAAAGCAAATAATTGAATTAAATTGAATGATGAAATGTTTATGCGATTATTATTATGTTTTCTTGCTGAAAAATTAGAGTTTTAGTTGAAAGTTGAAAGGAACGCATTGGGCGGCTGGGGCGTATGAGCAACCAGTAGCCTTTGTATGCCGTGAAAGTGGGCATGGTTGTTGCATAATTGCAGGAGTACGTAGTATGTTGGAAAAATCGAATGAAAAAAGGGGCACTTGCTCGTATATTTGCTTTGGTGGTGTGAATTTCTTGCCACATAACTTTAAAGAGCACCTGGGCGCTTTAAACATTTTTGTACAGATTTTGCCATTGTGATGATTTAACTGTGAACTTAATTACTTTATTTAAAGAAAATCTTTATTACAGTTATTGCAGACGCCATCTTCTCAAACCTGTGAAATATTTCCTTACGATTGCTATACGTTTTCTCTAAGGTTGTTCGTTTTCTTCTTAAGTTCGATCAATTCATGTCGAATTTATTGCTCAACAGAGAGGGGCGAAAAGGATTTATCGAAATTTTGCTTTCATGTTTAGTGTAATCTAATATTGAAGGTTGAAAAGAAGGTCGTTTTTCAGGCACGATTTTTAAGTGATTGATTTTGCAAAACAATATTTTTTATGTGTGTAAAAAGTTAAAGGAGAACTAAGGGAAAACTTCGTTAAATGCGTTATAGATCTCCGATCTGAACGAACGAACGAACTGGATTTGTCCGCAACAAGCGCGGCTGGTCAGTTGTCTCCGAGCACCTGGTGAGTCAGGACAAACATTTTCGCGCGACGTGTTTCTGTGTGTGGTGCAAGAGGAAAATGCAGCGTTCGTTAGAGCAGAGATAAGCGATTAAAATCTGTGTGAAATTCGGTAAATCTGCGACAGAGACGTTTGACATGACCAAACAGGCTTACCCAGATGTTGCTTTAGCAAAAAATTTTGTATTTCGGTGGCACCACGCTTTTATATATTGGTTTGAAAGTTGTACCATTATCTTGTGGGATAATTTACGCAAAATTTTGTGTAGATAACTTGTCAAATATGAGCTTAATTTTGATTACTGAGTTTTTACGGCAGCTGTAACCTATAGTGGTCCGATATCAACAATTCTGACAACAAAAAAACTACCTTTTTGAGGAACCAAGAAGGTGTGAATATTTTCAGTTCTATATCTCAAAAATTGGTTAAATCGTCTCAACTCTACATGCAAATCATTTATAATCTCTACATCGTTTCTCTCTGGATGTTAAAGACATATTATACCATGTTCAAAATAGAAAAATATATTAAGAACGATTTTAAAGTCAACTTGTGAAATTTGAATAATAAAGGCTCTTTTTTTTGTTTTTTTTTTTTGTTTTGTGTTTTTGTAAAACGACATTTTAAGCAGTCATAGGGGCCATAAATGAAATGAATATTAGTTGATTTGATAGTGGTAAAACTCTGCGGTATCTCGATTTCTCAATAATCAAAAGCCTACTGTTGAATATTTTTTCAAAAATTTTCGCTTATATCTGCAGACTTTTGTTGAAGCTGTCGTTAGATGGTAGGTCAAAGTGCGTTCCTTAAGTTTTTGTAGTAAAATTTAAAAAAAGTAATTCCACTAAAAATATGAACTTTATAAGTAAATAGACTTCCTCTAATTTTTTATTTACTGCTTCAGCCGTAAACTCTTCTGGTTACATTGCATGTGGATCACTCTTTAATTTAAACCACTTTGTTGATTTGTCTTTAAAGCTTACTTCAAGTAGATGACGTCACCATCACATTGTCTTCGTGTATACTCAAACACTTTTTAAAAGACGCTGTCTTCCTAACGGCCATCATTACCATCATCACTAAAGACGAAAGTCCAGCATTACTATAAGCTATTTGCTGCTCCTCTTCATCCATTGACCACTCAAATCTAAGTTTCTATTAATACATTCCAATCCACACACAATGACAATACCATCAATAGCAATCCACATACATACTGCACCCAAACAAGCAACTGCGCAAAGTGAATACAGCTCTTCATATCAGTGTGCAGCTTGTCTACAGAGCTATTGAAATTGATAATAATTTCCAATATTTGCCTTCATTTGCACTGAATCATACAAGTATGTGCATCAACACTCATCGCCAAGTAAATACAAATAGCCAAATATATAGTGAAGCATAAGCACATATGTAYATATGTAAGGTACCTGATCATTCATGGTGGAGAGCTCATTGTCGCCCACATTTGCATCGGCGAAGCTGCGCCCCGCATCGTTGGCATAAAGTGGATCGCCGCCAATTACTTCAAGCAGGAAATATTGCGTGAGACCACCGTCGTTGCCGGCTACACAGACTACTTCCAAAACGGTGTCGTTGCGCAGTTCGCAAGCCTTTGGCGCCTCCGGTGGATCTGTAAGAAAGGCGTGGGTGTGGAAAAATAATTAATTACAAACACTTCGATAGCATATCGAAGTCATCAATTCGTATATATATGTACATATATGTATATTTGGGTGTAAACAACAACAATACCAAACTGATTAAATTTGTGGTTATCTATGTGTTGACAGTGCACAAGCAACTATATTAACGGTGCGTAAGTAAGAGTGAGGGTCCCTGTAGGGAAATTTGATCAATTATCTTAGTAAAATGTTGAAATATATACAAAAAAATTTCAGCAAAAGATACTCGTCTTTCGAAAAGATAAGCGGATAAAAAGAACTCGGAGGACGGATTTTTGTGCTTTTGAAGCCACCGGGTTGTATTTGAAGTAATGTACAGCTGTTTTCAAACTATACTAACGTATTTATAAAATTTACTACTTTTTGTATGGCAATGCTACAATTCACACCGTTAGCAGAGCGTCAATACTAGCGTTGAGCTCGCTCAGTTTATGCTCAGAAATAGTCAAGCTTTGTCAGTCCTCATTGGCAGCAAGGACTTTGTCTTCCGTTGTTCAAATTTTGCAAGACTGAGGTTGGAACAGTTATATAATAGAAATTTTTTGCAGTTTCAGAACGCTTTTTTTGATTTTTGAGAGTCATTTTGATCAATATTTATTTCGATAGTACTAATGAACCGCCGTTTCTAGCTATCTAAATGAGATGCGTTTTTGAACCAACTTATTAAATTAAGCTAGTGTTGTAGTATTTTACGCGCTGTAAAAAACGGAGTCCAAACTGTCGGAATTAACTTTAGAGGTCCGCTTTCTATGTTCACTTTTCGTATTATCACAATCATTTGATTAATGGTTATGCATCAGACCACAGTTTCCGGTAAGTTTGAAACGTAAGATAACTAGAATTTCTAAAAGCTTCAAAAAGTGTAAGAAAGTGATTTCATTAGGCAACTTCAAAATTTTCTAGACCAAGTCTGAGTATCATATATCAGCTCCATTATCTACGAATGAATCATTGAGGCTACGGAGAGATGGCTATCTAAATCCAAATCTTGTGTAATATTTTTGTTTAAAAGAAGAATTAGTACAGGTTAAGGACTGTACTTGCATAGTAGAAACCTCGATCCTTTGACGTACCAAAACTTATAGGTATAGATCAAAGGACCACCGAGTATCGATGCGTTGTTTTGAGCCTTTCGGAAAGCTCAAAATTTGTCCAGTTCTCCAAAGTTATGTCCAATAAGCTGTCTCAAGCGCAGTCTATAGAGATCTGGGTGTATATTATACAAACAATTTTCAACAAATCTCTAAAAGAAAAGTGAAATGAAACCCTGAAACTTGAGTAGGTAGAGAACATCGGACAGAAGATTCAGGATTAAAAATAAGTTTTGAACCAACTCTCTTTTTTTTCTCTCTTCTCTTGTCTTTCCCTTTCTCTCTCTCGCATTTTTCTCTTCTTTTCATTTGCAACTTTGAAAAAATACTTAAAAATTTATATAATTATCGGTTTTGAAAAATTYTTCGWATAATTTCATGACACTAATTGCTTTCCTACAAACTGCTACTCAATATTTTAGAGAAAACCGGTAAGGGCAGACATATGCATAAGTATGTGTGCAAACTCATTTCAGATGTGTGCGTGTGTGTGAAGCAACGTTTGCATTGAAATTCACCAAGAATTTGAACTGCTTGTTGCAAGCGCACTCGCCACAGCAATGTGCCATTCAACAAATACTCTAATGCAACAACTTGTTGTTATTGTTATTATGCCATTGTGTGGCCGAAATTGCAATTCGGCAATGAAAGCATTAAAGCCGAAAAGTAAAAAAATAATTTCTAGAGATAAACTCATGAAATGCCAACTATCAAATTGTGTTGGTTTCAACTTAAATGTCCTTTTCAGCCGCCGAGACAACCTCGGGACCTCAAACAGCCGCCCACTCAATCGTAAAGCTAGTGTGTCGCACCCAGCTGACCGACATTTAAACATTAACATTTACGAGCCAAATTGCCTTGAGAGCTTAATAAGCAGTTTGGTTTTGATTGCCGTAGACATTTTTGTAGAATTCTCAACCGATTACATTTTCACTTCACTTCAATTCGATTCAATTTCACACTTACTTGCTGGCAGTATATGCACCAGGCAGGGGATGGTCTGGCGTCCCACCGAGTTGCTGGCCCAGCAGGCGAGCGTTATCAGCTCCGAGTCGGTCTGCGGCAGATACGTAACGGTGCTGACCAATCCATTCGAAGTGATTCTCGAATTGAGCACCTGCAAAGTAGAGAGCAAAGGAATATTTTTAGAAATGCGGCTTCATGTTTATATGTATATATGTGTATGTGTATGTGTGCRTGYACGTTGGTAGAATTCTCATATGCGCCTCAAAGCGCACAGATTTAAGTTTTCATCCTTGTGTGAATGGAGTTATTAAAATAAATATTTATTTTCCATAAATATGAATGCGAGTGTGTCGTTCTAAATATAAGCACTTGTGGATTTAGCATGAAATATCTGGCAAACTCGGCGCGCACAAGTGTTGCCACACGAAGCAACATAAAAGAGAATCAGTCAGAAACGCCCACAAACAGAAGGAAGTAGAAGTAGAAGTAGACACGGCAGCTGCAGTAGTGCTGATAGCACCCACACAATTACGAAGAGCTGAGGGGTTTGGGTGCATGAATATGTGTGTGTGTTTGGATTGTGCACAGGAAGGAATAAATAATTTATAGTCGCACAAGTTTATTAGATTTTCCTGTAGTCACGTACGCTGCCGACTGTCTCGTGTGTCGTTGAGTTGTCCCCACTCTTTCACTTCGGCGGACTGAAATTGAATACCTTAGTACATACCTATATATTAACATGTATATAGACTAAGTGCAGTGTTGCATGCTGCACCGATGCCAGCAAGTGACCACGGTAGCGGACAGTTGGGAAAGTAGAAATGGCGACGCTTGCGGTGGCTGGCTTTGAAGTAAGCCAGACTCAAATAAAATGGAAAGAGAAAGAGTCGCACTTTTATTTAGCATTCTCGAGAGCATGTAAATATGCGCGTGCATGCAACGAGAGTGGGCGTGACTAAAGCAGTGCTGGCGTCAAAGTTGCAAACACAACAGTGTAATTGAGTCCCGAAGGTGTTGCGCTCGGGGATTTGTTGAAGACACGCAGGTGTAAGTTGCAAGCATAAATGGAGTTCTTCAGCGAAAGTCTATTTACTTATATGAACAGCGAATGTTTAACTAACTGTGGCAGCGCTGACAACAGATAATAAGGAAAATGGAAGGTTAAAACGTGCGTGAAAGCTATAAATAAGAAAAACGTATATATTATATATATATTTCAAGACTTGTGGCTTAATCCACAAGGAATTGAGTTACTTTCATTTTTATTTATTTACTTGTGTTTGTATTTTTAAAGAAAAGTGAAATAAGTTATTTTTAGTAGTCATGGTTGGCACGTGCGGCCCAACTACGCGATTTTGCATTTGGAATAAAATGCAGGGAAAGCACGAAGGCGTCAAATGAGTTTAGTTTAGTGTGTTGAACCAATATATTGAAAAAAATAAAACTTTTTTTAAGAGGTCCTAGCCTAATTTAATATTTTGGCAGTTTTTAGACATTTGCGAAAAAATCAACTGACCCTAAATTAACTAGTTGGTAACTAGTTCTATAAAAAATCTGTGGTTTTTAAGATAATCATAGATAAATAGCATAATGTTTTAAACTAACAACAATTTGCAACATTTTCAATATATACAAAACCTTTAGTCCAAAATATATAAATTAAAGCGCGTATCTAATATGTAAGTAGTAAAAAAAAAATTTTGGTTTGGGAAGGAAAATAGGATAAAAAAAAATATTGTAGTATAATAAAACATGGAAAATTATATATGTATATATAACATTTATTCCAACAAATTTATCCAGTAGAAGAAGTATTTAAACTTGATTTGGGAATGAAACAGGAAGTTAATAATAAAATATTGTAGAATAATAAAATATTTAAATATACATATATATTAATATATAGTTGAAGTAATACTTAAAAATAGTTCGCAGAAAAATATTTCCCTCGACCAAAGACTATCTCCCGTCTGTAATCTTGGAGTTCGGCTACAGGGTCAAGGGAAACCAAAATAGTTATTTATATTTATTAAATAACATGCTTGTCAAAAAAATCAAAATCACCAAAAACGCATTTTCCTGACTTGCAATTATATATAACCCTCTCAAGTACCAGAATCATCTTTCGACATTTTTAACCACTGCTAAACAGTTATAGAAAGAAACATAAATACCTCCCCCTCCCCATTTCATACCAGCGGTAAATATCAATAATTGATTGGAAACAAAATTTATCCACTTAGTGAAACATGTCTACTTTATGTGACACACACACACACTTACAAACAACTGAAATGAAATCAACATCATACTAACCGGCGACACATTTCTTGTGTTGTTGTAGGTCCAACTGAATTTCACCGAGTCTGGCGGATCCGCATCCACTTCGCATTTTACCTGCACCGAGTGCATGTTTAGCGCGCCGATTGACGTTTGCTCGGTGCCCGGTCGACATCTGGGCGAGTCTGCAATTGAAGAGGAAAACGATTTATGTAAATGTCTTTGATTTTTCGTGCATTTCAAAAAAGAAGGAGCAAAATGAACGTAAAAAAGAAACACAACAACAACAAAAATGCACAACTAAATGGAAACTAGACCGTTGCTTGTGGCGCCCAGCATGCGAAGAAGAAGCATCAGCAGCGGCGCATCGGCGCAGCGTTGTTGCATCCGCTRTACGGCTRACATTGCGGTTGTCGACTTGCGGTTGCTGGCAGCACATACACATATAATATAATATGGCGCTCTACTCATTGGTATATATGTATTTAGGTGTATATGCAATCAAGTTGTGTTTGGTTTTCTTCGAGTGCCTCAAGGCGAGTAATTAACATGGTTCAGTTCGGTGTTGTGGTTGTTTTCCTTGCACACACATACACGCATATACATCTATATGTTTATGTGCGTGTCTGCATTTTCAAGCGAATGAGCTAAGCTGCTGAACACATTTACTTTCGCATGAAGCTATTTCTATATAGTTTCTGCATTTAAACGATACTTTTTGGTTCACAACTACATTAGGGCGCTCGTTATATCTCAAGTTGTTCGGTTTTATACAGATGCCTCTCTAGTTTCAGTTTTTACTTTAAAAAATTATGTATTTTGTGTATTTATTATTTTCTATTTAAATCGTACYTAAATAATATTATTTTCTCCATAAATTTAACACGAGATTTTTTATATTAAAACTTTGTAACTTAAAACTAAACTTACAATTTTCAAAATTGCATATTCTTATACGAAAGTTAGCACTCTACAAAAAAGGCCTGATTTTTTTTTCATAAAAATAATGCCTTAAAAGTTGGACACGATTGAAATTCTGCTGATGATAAATTGATAATTGATACCTGTGCCTTTTAAAGTCCACATTGCTCATACGCCCCGGTGTACCTGCTTGGGGCTTTCTAAAATTCTCTAACGAACTGCAGTTTACGGGAAGAAAACTTTAAATGCTTGTTGTTTCAAGATTACTTGAAGGAATTTCTCGGTCTTTGATCTTTGCAASTTGCTAGAGTATAAAATTTTCATTTTACCCGAACTTATCCCTTCCTTACTTGTTTTCGTTGAAAGCACTTAATATACATTTGAAAAATATTTTATGCTTCTAAAGCTACCAAGAGCCATTTAACATGGATTTTATTTTAGTTTATTTTGTTTAGATTCATATAATTTTTGCAGGTGTGAATCGGAATTATTCTCGAAATAATAAATGTAAATCCGGAAAAAACATTCATAATTAATTTGCAATTTCACTCCCTTCCGGTTCTTGGCTTCAGATCGCCGGCATCTAGCTTTTTCCTTAGTTTTTTCCCACTGCTATTATTATTTTTGTTTCAAAATTCTTTACCCAATAGTTTTGTTCAATAGTTCTGTAATATTTATCGGTATGCGACTTAGCCATTTTTGTTCATAACGCCCAAATGTATGCAATGCTTATTTCAATGAACCGATTTACAACTGAGGTCGCTATAGTTACTGGTACATACTTTCTAGAGTAGTATTCTACTTAAATGCATTTTCCAACGTAAAAAAAGCAATTTAATGACGCCAGATTCTTCTCATAGCGGTAATTAAAAATGTGCTATGTAAGCTTCTGCAAAAGAAACTTTGCGATCTTATATCATTAAATATTAGTATTTGGTCTTGAAGTAGACACCGCTCTCTGACCACTAAGTATACAAAAATTGAAGTAAGACATCTTACTGCCAAATAATTAGAAATCTTCTCAGCGTAGATTTAATACAATATTATTTGTTTTATTTTTCGTTAATTATTTTCAATTATTATTTTTATGATTTTGACAAATATTTGTATGTATTTACGCATAATTTTTCTCTTGGTAATGCTATAATATGTTTAGTACAAATTCGTAAAAATAATAACGGATTACTTAATGAAAAGTTTCCTCCCTACGCCCATAAAGCAAACAAGTTACGTGCCATACATATCTACCTATGCCTGCACTCAACTGTTAAATCTTTGCTCTCTTAGTTTTAAGCGCATAGCGGCAAACATATATTATAACGTTACCGTTATTATGAACAATTTATACATGCATATATATAAATAKATATATMAACTCTAGTAGAGGGGACAGCGATATTGTAACTAGCACTAGCAGTAGTTTAGACCTCACGAATTGGAGCAATTTCCACAGCCTCCACTGTTAAGTTTATATGAAAGTTTATATATATATACTCGTATTTACATATATATAAGTATACATACTCACATACACACATGGAATGCACGCAAGAAACGGCCGCCTGCATCTCATTGCGGAAGTCATTTACTAGCACTTAGCCGCAGGGTAAATGCATTTCTGAGTATCTGTGAACCCTTTTCAAGTTTCGCAGTTAAAGAGGACGTAGTGTGCCTCTATAAAGCATTGAAGC